TTCAAATATCCCATTCAAAGTCTACTTTTTGCATTTGGAAAATCAAAAGGCCTAACCACTAAGCCCACCTGAATTCAGTGTCCAAAAAACCCTGTCCAGACCATAAGAACTATGTAAATTGTCCCTAAAAACTCCAGGCTCGGGGGGTATATCAAGTTTCTTAGAGGTAAAGAGAAGAAAAAGCATATACCCTACCATTTGAGATTTGTTTGTTTGTTTGAAACAAGGATGTGAGAAGGGAAGCAGGTGATAAGGGGAAGAAAGAGAGGAGGGAGGAGAGAAGGAGACAGAGGAGGGCCGAGAGGGCGAGGAGTATGAATGTTATTGGTAGTGTGGAGGAAGATGTGGAGGGAGAGGAGTGGTTGAGCAAGGAGGAAGCGAGGGAAAGAATGAAGGCGAAGAGGGAGTTAAGTAGGAGGATTCGGGCTTGGATAGAAGATGTGGAGCGAGAGGAGAGGTTGAGGAGGCAGGAGGGGGCGAGGGAAAGAATGGAGGCGAAGAGGGAGGAGAGGAGGAGGAGGATTCAGACTTGGATTGACGATGTTGAGAAAGAGAGAGTTGGAGAAGGTGAAGAAGAAGAAGACATTTATTGTTGTATCATTATATAAATAATTATGAATAAAAAGTTTGAAATGTAGTGTTTTTTTTTTTCTAAAAGTAAAAGTCGAAATTGCGCATGATTTGTGGGGAATAAACTACTGAAGCGATCCGATTGAAACTTGGTAGAGTGATAGACAAATGGTTCCCGTCAATAGCAAAAATAACCGCATCTCAATCGAAGCTTTATTTGCCGAGATGTAAGCTTAGAAAGTGGAAAATTCAATGTAGCATGCTGCCTAAGCTCCGCGTAATCTCAGTCTAACTTCACGGACGGTCAGCCAGATGGTAGAGCTACCTGCCTGTCAAATTTCAATTCTTCGGACTTGGTCAAAATGTAGAGAAAATCACGTAGTTCTAACGACTGGGGAAGGTTTATTGGACTCTCATAGTTCTAATAACTGGGGGAGGTTTTTTGAACACTTATTTATTATAACCTTCATATAATATGGCAAACAATGTCCTGAAATACACTTTTTGTCCAAAATACCTTTGTTTCATAAAAAAAAAA